CTATCCATGAGCATGGGATGTGTTTCCATTTATTGGTATCTTCTTTAATTTCTCTCATGAGTGTCTTGTAGTTTTCAGAGTATAGGTCTTTCACTTTCTTGGTTAGGTTTATTCCTAGGTATTTTATTCTTTTTGATGCAATTGTGAATGGAATTGTTTTTCTGATTTCTCTCTCTGCTAGTTCATTGTTAGTGTATAGGAATGCGACAGATTTATGTGTATTAATTTTGTATCCTGCAACTTTGCTGAATTCAGATATTAGTTCTAGTAGTTTTGAAGTGGAGTCTTTAGGGTTTTTTATGTACAATATCATGTCATCGGGACATGTTTGAGTTCTTCCTTACCCATCTGGATGCCTTTTATTTCTTTGTGTTGCCTGATTGCCGTGGCTGGGACCTCCAGTACTATGTTGAATAACAGTGGGGAGAGTGGGCATCCTTGTCTTGTTCCTGATGTTACAGGAGAAGCTTCCATCCTTTCACCATTGAGTATGATGTTACCTGTGGGCTTGTCATATATGGCCTTTATTATGTTGGATATGTTCCCTCTATACCCACTTTGTTGAGAGTTTCTGCCATGAATGGATATTGCATTTTGTCAAATGCTTTTTCAGCATCTATTGAGATGATAATGCAGTTTTTATCCTTTTTTTTGTTAATGTGGTGTATCACATTGATTGATTTATGAGTATCGTACCATCCTTATATCCCTGAAATAAATTCCACTTGGTCACGATGCTGGATCTGAATTCAGTTTGCTAATATTTTGTTGAGTATTTCTGCATCTATGTTAATTAGGGATATTGGTCTGTAATTTTATTTTATTTTATTTTTGTAATGTCTCTGCTTTTGGTATTAGAGTGATGCTGGCCTTGAAGAATGGGTTTGGAAATATTCCCTCCTCTTCTATTTTTTTTTAATACTTTAAGAATGATGGGTATTAGCTGTTCTTTAAATGTTCAGTGGAACTCAGCTGTAAAGCCATCTGACCCTGGACTCTTGTTTGTTGGGAGTTTTTTTATTACTAATCCAATTTCATTGCTGGTAATTGGTCCGTTCATATTTTCTGTCTCTTCCTGGGTCAGTCTTGGAAGTTTGTATTTTTCTAAAAATTTGTCCATTTCTTCTAGGTTGTCAAATTTAGTGGCATATAATTTTTCATAGAATTCTCTAATAATTTTTTTGTATTTCTGTGGTATTTGTTGTGACTTTTCCTTATTTGTGTCTGATTTTATTCATGTCCTCTTTCTTTTTTCCTTGGTAAGTCTGGCTAGAAGTTTGTCTATTTCATTTATCTTCTCAAAGAACCCAGCTCTTGGTTTCACTGATTTTTCATATTGTTTTATTCTTCTCTATTTTATGTATTTATTTGGGCTGCTTATTCATTCCTGAGGTCGGGCTGTATGGCTATGTACTTTCCTGTTAGAATCATTTTTGTAGCATCCCACATATTTTGAAATGTTGCATTTTTGTTTTCATTTTTCCCCATGTATTGTTTGATTTCCTCCTTTATTTGCTCATTGATCCATTAATTATTAAGAAACATGGTGTTTAGCCTCCCTGTGTTTGTGGGGTTTTTTGTTTTCTTCATGTAATTGATCTTTAGTTTCATACCACTGTGATCTGAAAATATGCTTGCTAAAATTTCAATCTTTTTGAATTGATTGAATCTCCTTTGTGTCCTAATATTTGATCTATTCTGGAAAATGTTCCATGTGCACTTGAGAAAAATGTGTATGCTGCTGTTCTTGGGTGGAACATCTGTATGTATCTGTGAAGAACGTCTGGTCCAATGAGTTGTTCAGTACCTCTTGTTTCCTTATTTATTTTCTGTCCTCACAATCTGCCCATTGATGTAAGTGGGGTGTAAAAGTGCCCTAATATGATTGTGCTGTTATTTCCCCCTTCAGGTCTGTTAGTATTTGCTTTACATATTTGGGTGCCCCTGTGTTGGCTGCATAGGTATTTATAATGGCTGTGTCCTCATTTTGGACTGATCACTTTATCATTATGTAATGTCCTCCTTTCCTCTTGTTGCTTTCATCTTGAAGTCCATTCTGTCTACATACTGCATCTCCTGCTTTTTTCTCCCTATTATTTGCATGAAATATCTTTTTCCATCCCTTCACTTTAGTCTATGTATGTCTTTGGTCTGGAATGAGTCTCTCGTAGGCAGCATATAAATGGGTCTCGTTTCTTTATCCATTCTGCCACCCTACATCTTTTGATTGGTGCATTCAGTCCGTTAACATTTAAGGTGATTATTGATAGGTATGTACTTACTGCCATTTTATTAATTGTTTTCTGGTTGTTTTTGTAGTTCCTCCCTATTCCCTTATTCCTCTCTCCTGCTCCCCTCATGTTCTTTGATGCTTTTCCTTGGTGTTATGAGAGGGAGACCTGATTTGTAGAACTAAAGCACCTGCTATATGGTGGAGGACTGGATGGAGCCCTCTCTGGATGAGAGGTCTGATGGGTGCCGTTGTTCACGCTCCTTCCCCACACTGAGAGTGACATCTGGAGCAGGGTTGGGGACCTGCCAACTTCAGGTTTGGTCTAGGCGACTTCCCAGGCACTGCCCACACCCAGATGCATCCGCAGGAGAGACCATTTAGGCTGCAGCAGCCTTGAGGGCACAGAACCAGGTGCCGCTGTGCTCTGGAGAGTGGGCCTTGGCCACCACTGCACCCGCGGCACCCACCCAGTAGCAGCTGAGATAGGCTTCCCTGGAGCTGGTCATCACTGTAGGCCTGAGCCACTCCTGCACCAGGGACTCAGACTTGGACCTAGGGGCCAAGGGGGCAGGGCATTCCCCAGGACTGCACTTCAGGTGTGGAGCCAGCTACTCCCCAACCCTGGAGAATGTGCCTGGGCTTGCTCCCTCCATGCTAGTGTGGACCCCATCAGTATCCACTCAGGAACTCCTCCCATTAGGCCCCTCTAACTGCAACCCCCCCCCTCCAGCCACATCCTGAGAGCCCAGACAACAGGACACCCAGCTCACACTCACTAGGCCTCCAGACAGCTGGCCAACACCACCAGGCACCCACATTCTATGCAAGGCACCAGTAATTCTACTTCTAGGAATTTATCAGAAGAAAGTAAAATCTCTGATTTGAAAAGACATCTGCACCCCATGTTTATCGCAGCACTATTTACAACAGCCAAGATAGGGAAGCAGCCTAAGTGTCCATCGGTAGATGAACGGATAAAGAGGTGATACACAGACACAATGGAATATTACTCAGCTATAGAAAAGAAAAAACGCTTCCATTTGTGACAACATGGATGGACCTAGAGGGTATTATGTTCAGTGAAATAAGCCAGGAAGAGAAGGACAAATACCATATAATTTCACTTATTTGTGGAGTATAAAAAGAAAGCAAAACAAAATGAACAAAACAGCAGCAGACCCACAGACACTGAGGCGGGTCTGGTGGTTACGATGGGGGAGGGGTTGAGGTGGGTGGGTGTGGAGAGTGAGGGGGATAGAGAGGCACAAAAACCTCAATTATAGTATAAATTAGTTGCAGGGGTGAAAGTACAACATAGGGAATATAGTCAAATAATTCTGTAACATCTTTCTATGTTAACAGAGAATAATTACACTATCTAATAATGTAGATAACTGTCGAATCACTATGGTGTATACTTACAACCAATATAATGTTGTATATCAAGTATAGTTCAGTATAAATAAATAAAATCACACACACAAAAAGAGAAAAAAGTCACTAAGAGAAAAGAGAATACTATGGTTTCACATATATGGAATCTGAAAAACAAAACAAACAAAACAGAAATAGACTCAAACACAGAGAACAGACTGTCAGTCACCGCGGGAGCAGGCGGAGTGGGACAGGAGGTGCAGGGGGAAAGTACGGGCTTCGAATTATAAAATGACTTAGTCACAGGGATGGAAGAGCGACACGGAGAATGTAGCTCATAATATTGTGAGATCTTTGTGAGGAGACAGATGATAACTGCACTTATGGTGAGCATTTAATAATGTGTATAACTGATGAATCACTGAATTTTTCATCTGAGACCAATATGCCGATAAAAAAAATGATAAAAAGGGCTTCTGCTTGTCATGCAGTGTGGCAGCTCTGTTATTTTATTGTAATGAACTATTTCTTAATAAATTTGTAAAAAAGAGAAATCGAAAAATGTATATACGATGATATATAAAGTGACAATGAATATATGAAGTGGTATCTTAATCTAATAGGAAAAACAAAGTGCACATTTAAATGCACCTCTCGGAAAAGAAGGAATTTGCGTCTGGAGCCCCTTATCAGCGAGTGGAAATCAGGGGGCCTCGCTGTGTCAGTACGGCTCCAGTCCTCTAGCAAGGGGGTGATGTGTCGTTCCTACAGGTATAATCCATGCAGTGATGTTTCTGACTGCCAGGGCCACAGCAGAGGGTCATGGGACAGACAGGGTAGGTACTGGAGCCCCAGGAGAGCCGCTGTGCCCCATGAACATGACAGCTGCTTTCTCTGTGTCTGTTAGCCCAGCCTGACCGAAGGCAGGTGGCCCTACTTTCTCCATCCCCGCTGATTTCTGCTTTCTCTGTGTACACACTGACTCCGAACACCCCGTTCCTGGGCATGGGTGTGCACCAAAGGCCATGTGCAGGAACATTCTTAGAAATATCATTCAGTGTCACCAAAAACTGCAAAACATCTACATGCCCCTCAACACTACAATGGATGCATCAGAAAACAGAATACAATACAAAAGTGCAAAAGTATCAAGCTACAGACGCGGATAATAACTTGGATTGATCTTCAAAACACAAAGTTAAACGAGGAAACCAGACTCAGTAGAATATGTATGGTATTATCCTATTTCTATTAAGTTCAAAACCAGCCAACATTGATATAAGAAGCTAGAAATAAGGAGAGCGGGTTCTTAGGGAAATGAGAAGCAGGTCAGGACTGGTGGACATGGAGGGCAGTCCAGGAGCACTGGGAAACAATGCTTCCCTGTCCTCATGTGGTGACACTGGGATGTCATTAGCACGTGTCACCAAGGTGTGCACATGGGGACATCTCATTGAAAGGCATGCTTGAGACTGTGTCTTTTTTCTGTACATAAAAAGTGTATTAAAACAAAAGACAGTTCATAGGCACTTCGAAGGTGCTGATTAGAGGATTACAGCATGAATGTCAGAATGAGATGACAGCTCTGCAGGCTGCCCATCCCTTGGGAGAGTGCCGACCACTGATGCAGCTCATTTAACCTGTGTGTGACATGGATGTGATGTGCATGTCATAGACATCTTGCATTCATACCTTTTCCCTCGGGAGCCGCCACTCATCACTGGGCTTGGATGGGCGGCTCACACGGACCAGGGCAGGCCAGCTGTGCGCTCTGGGCTGACTGAGCAGTAGAAGGGGAGGCTTTGTTAGTAAGTAAATCCAACTGGACAGGGGAGTCCTTTGTGCATTAAGTAGAAGGCAGAGTGACCGGGTGACCAGCAGAAGCATCCTGCTGGTGTAGGTGGCCCCTCAGCGGCCCCCTCAGGGAGATGCCTGCCTGAGAGCAGGCCGACTCAGAGGAAGACATGGCACCGACATGGCAGAGGGTCCCAGTGGGCTGCACCTATCACAGCCTCAAATATGCGCCCTGGGATTTTGCTTTCAAAAGCCAGCACATGCCCTTTTTAAAACATGATGGAAATTCTCACAATTTGGTGGATTTAGGGAACAGAATGTTTGCACACTAACAATGGCAAAGCTACGTGAAATTTGTAGCTTTAGGAAGGTAGTGTGCGTGCTCGCAAGATGCTGCTCTAAGACAGGCTGCCACCCCATCTCCAGCCAAGATCATTCCTATACCACTGGGTGTTGTGTAATATCTGACTGGGAAAAATACCATTTGCATGCAGTTCTGACTCCCAAGCCCCAAAAAATCAATATGTCCCACCGAGGATGAAGGAAAGCCTGAGAAGTGGGCCCCAGAACAGCCCCATGGGTCCTCATCCCCCTTGTCAGGGCCCGTGGGTGGAGGCCCTGCCCTTCCTGAAGGCCACGTCAAAAAGGGTGGGGCCAGATTCTCTGGGTCTCAGGAAGGGAGAGGGGGAGGGGGTCAGGACCGGGCCCAGCTTACTGCCAGCTTTCTCAGGTCCTGTCCTCATCTGGGGTCATGTACAGGATGACAAGGTCATCCCTGCAGCCCAGGTGGCACCTGCAGCCCTGTATCCAGAGGACGTGCAGTCAAACTTCCTTTCTGCTCATGAAAAGAGGAGATTTGTCTGGCATGTTTAAGGAGAAGCCCAAACCCCACATGTCTGGGACACAAACCCAGCAGCTCCCCATGAATTCTGTGCCAAGTGGGGTCAGGAGTGGGGAACCCTGAGACATCTACACGCCCTTCGGTATGATACTTAGCAGACGTCGTGCCTCGGTTTGCAGATATGGCATGCAGTTCTGCTCAGCACTGGCGGAAGTTGCCAAACAAATTGTCCCAATGTTCACATCAGATTTACTCTCACATCAAAAGTATATGAGAGACGTAACGGTGCCGTGGGCTCCCCAGCCCCGGCTGTCGGTCTTTCCCTCTAGTCTGCGTCTCCATGGATCTGGCAGGTGTGCGGGTGTCATGTGACTGGCAAATACAGTGAGGTGCTTCTGCTGTCTCTCTGATTTCTTTCTCACAATGCTCTCATCTATGAATAGAAGTTTTTAGTTTTAAAATTCAATATTTGCAATGTGTTCTTTATTTTTACTGTGTTTTAGATCCTGTTTTTAAAAATCTTTACCTATTGCATGGAAATCAAATCTTTTTGGTAAAGCTCTAATTTTTCAGTGTTCACATATATATCTACAAACCACCTATAATTGAGTTTTTCTGTTTGTTTGTTTGTTTGTTTGTTTTTGCCTATGATCAGTAGGAAAGATCAGCTAATTTTTTCCCCACTCAGACATCCAACCGACCCAGAACTGGCCCCTGGAAAGGCCGGCTTTCCCGGCACAGCACCGGCCCGTCATCATGCTCCAGCCACCATGTCAGCCCCAGCCCGTCCCGGGCCTGTCCCCAGCCCGTCTGTCCTGGGCCTGTCCCCAGCCAGTCTGTCCTGGGCCACGGGCTCGCTCGACTGCCTGGATACCAGTTCCAAACTGCCGTAACTACTGCGAGTCCATACTATCTCCAGATAGTAAATAATCCAAGTCCTACAAATGTGTTTAACTTCTGCAGATTGCCTTGGCTATTTTTTGGCTGTTTTTACTTCACAAGCATCTGGTATCTGGTTATGGACATCAACAAGATCTCTGAAGCTTCGATGCGAATGCCCCGCAAGAAGAGGTTGATCTGTGGGAATCAATCTCCTCGCAACATTTAGTCTCAAAATCTATAAAGATTTCAGGAGAAAATACCACAGAATCTTTCAGAGAATAGAGAAATCAGAGATGCTTCCTAACTACTCATAGAGAGACCAGTATCACCCTAAAACAAAGACCACTAGTGATATTACAGGAAGTGAAATCACGGGCCAGCGTCTCTCATGAACCTGGCGTCGACTGAATGGCAGCTCAGCGATCTGATAGAGGACCGACCTCTGCTGGGGGGAAAGGAAGTGGTGAGTTCCTGCCCTCTGGCGCATATGCCACGAACGAAAGAGGGGGAGTTCGCACACTGAATGCACTAAATACTGCTGAATGCTTTGCTTTAAAAAGTCTAATTCGGTCATACCAGCAACATGGCAATGTAAAATGCTGCTCTTTCAATACCCCTTTTTAAGCAATATCTTAGACATGCATGTGTGAAGAAAGCACCTTTGTGGATATTTGGGGACCTAGCCCTTGACTCCGAGGGACCTGGCAGGAGACTCACCCACCAGCACAGCCAGTTGGGCAGACAGACAGCCTCTGTATGGGCTGTGGGACCGGCGGGGAGCCCACAACACCACCTGGACCTCCCTGGCCACTCCTGGGCAAAAATCAGGGCAGACTCATGCAGGTCTGAGAATGTGCAGAAGGTCCGCCTGCCCGCACAGTGGCTCCGGCCACCAGTGGGGACTCGAAGTCAAGACAAGTACAAGTTTGGTGGCAGCAGAGGCGGCATGAAATCTCCTCAGCACCACCTGTCCCAAGAACACACAGAACGGGGTGATTGACACTCAGGAGGCAACCTCTGCTGGGGGGAAAGGAAGTGGTGAGTTCCTGCCCCTGCCTCCTCGCCGGGCAGGATGCAGTTGCCGTCTCTTTGCAGCATCCTCATTGCCCCAGTGCCTGAGCTCAGCCCCTGAGCTCTGTACCCCTGAGTTCTGATGGGCCGGGCCCAGGGGCTGCCCTCCGGGTACTGCTCAGCAGGGGACTGAGTTCCAGGAACTGAGCTCCAGAGGCTGAGGTCCCAAGACTGACCTCTGGGGGCCTGAGTTCCAGGGGGATGAACTCCAGGGGCTGACCTCTAGGGGACTGAGCTCCAGGGGTCAGAGCTCCAGGGGCCAAGCTCAGAGCACTTCTCTCATGTGGCTCAGGAGAGACCCAGTCAGTACACCCAGGGCAAGCCACCTTCTGAGAAACAAAAGACGTTTCCAATGAGCAGCCTGCTGAAACGTAAGGACCATTGAAATGCAGATAGCTTGACCATCACCCAAGGAGGGACAGAGATGCTGAAGATGTCCACTCTACTGGGGTGGCAACCTGCTGAATGCTGGAGCCCCCAGCAAGGGTACCTCCAGCACAGGGGGTGGGCAGAAGCGGACCACAAAGCTGGCAGCATCCGGGCCAGTGGGGACCATGCCCCTGGCCAGTGAGATCTGACACCCATGCTAGCGCACACCCGGGCACCCTCTTCCACACTGGTGTGCACACACAAACACCATCGCTCACACTCACACCGCACACACGTGCACACGCAGGGTGTCATGGGCTCTGAGGAGGCAGCGGGGGCCTTTTCTGGAGGGAGGAGAGAGCTGACATCACTGACGCTCCACGTACCCCACCGCAGAGGCCTCAGGAAGACCCAGGCGGATGCACAGGCACAGGCTGCGGGGTCTCTGGTAGAAGAATCCGACTCTGAGCCAAGTGCCTGGCCAGCCTCACCAGAGGAAGGGGCTCACGAATCACAGGACAGAGGCCTCAGGGGTCCCAGGCAGCCCTGGCCCTGCAGGGGTGGGGAGAGAGCCGGTCTTGCTGGGGAAGTGAGGAGGCCTGGGTCTGGCCAGCAGGCTGGAACTCACTGGGTCGGATCTCCCTGAAAAAAGCACCTTCCCAATACCTGGGACACTCGGCCCCAGGCAGAGCCACCCCAGACCATGCAGGAGGCCCGCCTTAGGCCCAGTACCTCAAGGTCTTGTCCATCCCCCTAAAAAGCCCCTGGGGCCTCCCCCAACACCCTCTGAGACAGACCTGGAGAAGGGCCTCCTGCAGGCCCCAGAGGAGGACTTGGGGCTGCCTGGTCAGTGAACTCCCAGCCCTGGGTTCCCGGGGGCTGCATGGGCCTGGCCCCCCTTCCCCTCCCACCACCTGGAGTTTCGGGAGGGAGTGCAGGTGCACAGCAGCAGACCCACGGAGCACCTGCTCCCGGGCCTCCCGCCTGCCCCTCAGCCCTGCCTGTGCCTCATGGGTCCCCGGGCCCCGAACAGGGTGGTTTTCCAAGCAGGCCTGGGCACGGGGGCTTTGCACCACTGCCTGGGGAGGATGTGTGTCTGACTCAAGGGGACCGGGTGAAGACACCTGCGTCCCAGGTGCGTGGCAGCTGGTGGCCTATGTGCTGTGGGCCCATGTCCCCCCCAGGTGTGACACGCAGGACGCAGGCCTGCACAAAGCCCGAGGACATCCTGTGCACCCAGGTGACCGGCTGGGTTGGGACCAGGATGAGGGTCTGGAAGAGGCAGTCAGCTGGCAGGGCCCTGAGATGGAGGGACCCGGGACAAGTTGTCTGCTGAGTGGAGGGCGGAGAGGCCCTCAGACCCACCAGGGCACAGATGCTGGGTGCGGGGGCGATGTCGGCCTGCTTCTGCCAGCTGGCCATTCAAAGCAGGGTGCCCTGGGCCCTGATGCCCCAGCCAAGGAAACCCGAGCAGGACAGAGGCCCCCATCTCCCTGTCCCCCACCGAGGCACACCAGGTGGCCCCTGGGGTTGGACACCCCCTCTCAGGGTCACAAGTGCCCATCAGGGCTGGGCACCTCCTCTAGTGCTCAGAGAGCCCCTCTTGGGGCCGGACACTCCCTTTCAATGTCAGGATGCTCTGATCAGGGCCAGACACCCTGTCTTGGTGTCAGAACTGTCCTCTCAAGGTCAGAAGCCCACTGGGGCGGGACACCCCCTCCTGGGGCCCGATAGCCCCCCTTGGGTTCTGACGTCTGTCCACAGTTCCCTTGGGGCTGGAGAGCCCTCAGAAGCTGAGTCAGGGTCTTTGATGTCACTGGGCAGTAACCAAGCCCCTGAGAAATCTCTGAGTCCGGCCCACCCACGGTACCACCAGAGTCCCCTGCAGGGCTGGGCCACTTGTCCTGCCGCAGCTGCTGTAGGGGGCCGGGGTCAGAGCTGGGCTCCAGGAGGCAGCACATCCCAGGGCTGACGGGCACTCGGTCCTCAGACTGTGGGGTCAGGAGCCAGCTGCAGGGGAGTGAGAGGAAGCCGCCCCACCTGCAGCTCTGGAGGAGGCTGGATTGTCAGGCGTGTGGCTGTGGGGAGCGGCACCCATGCTGAACACCTCCTGGGACACGGGCCTGTGCCTAGGCAGGGAGGGTCAAGAGCTCTGGGCCTGAGCTGCTGGCACACGCGAGGCTGGTGCAGAGGGGCATACAGGGACCCGCAGGCCTCAAGGGTTTAGAGAGAAGTGTTCCATCCGCCCTGGTGGAGACACAGCATGAACAGTCACAGACCAGGGCCGCGGGACCCTCATACTGCCCTTGGGCCGTGCTCACAGCAGCTATGATGCCGGCTTGACTGGAGCTAGGGGGCCCCCTGCCACAGACAAAGGGCTCCCAGTGAGGTCTGAGTGGTCCTCGGGTGGCTGGGGTTGGGAAAAGGCAGCTCAGTGTGGGCACAGGAGTCCTTTAGGAAATGACTGAAGACAGGTGGGCAGCAAGGATGCCAGGCCAAATTGCCCAGAACCCCAACAGAAACCCAAGAGGCCAGGACAGAGGACTGAACACCAGGGACCTGGACCTCTCACCCCAGGGGACCCCAAAGGAGCAGGGTAGGACCTCTGAGAATGGGCTGGAGCCGCAGACCCCACTCAGGACAGGCTGACTCTCTTGATGTTGAGGCCCAGGGCCCAGGGCAGGTGGCGCCACTGGTAAAGAATCAGACTTGCTATGGTGTCTGCCAAGGGGCCCCTATGGGCAGAGGTGACAGCAGGCCTCACCTTTGCCCCTTGTCAGTCCAGGTCAGCCCCTGGCCTCCGCTGGCTGTGTGGGAGAGCCCACTACAGAAGGCCATTGGAGCCTCAGCCCCAGCTCCTGGATGCAGCGGGAGACCCACTGGGGGGCACAGCGGGGGTGCCCTGGACCCCCCAGTGCTCAGGTGCAGGGGTTCAGCCTGAAGCCCGACATCACACACCCTCACGGAGAGGTGCCCTGGGTATCACCCTGGGAGCCCAGGGCTGCAGAGGGATGGCCGGCCGACAGCCACAGCCACGCCATCCACACGGCCGGAGCAGGTGGTTCCTCCTAGGCCCAGGGTAGGTGGGCTTCCCGTGAGTGAGCCATGGAGCAGGCCTGTCCTCATTCTCGGTGGCCTCTGGGGTTGGGTGAGGTGAGCACCATGCCCACAGGTCCGGTCTGTGCACTGGGTGTCTAAGACACCCCCAGAAAAGGCCCTGGCTGTTCTTGTTTTCTGAGCCCCTTGCCGACAGGAAAGGCCCGCCCATGCCTGCACACAGCACAGGCCCCCCCACACGCCCTCTCCAGCTCCCTCCTCAGTCTGCACGATTCCTGGAGGTCAGAGCCCCTAAAACCACAAAGGGCTTATAAAGCTCAGAGATGGGATGTTCTAGACACACCCGACTCCACCTTGGCTCCAGAAGGTGAGGACCCGAGGGCCAGTGAGAGCGGCTGGGGAGGTGGACCTTGGTCCCAGGCCCGGGTCCCCATGTGCGTGCGGAGGAGGGAGATTCCAGGGGGCTCCCTGACTCGGTCCTCCTGTCATGCCTGAAAAACCCTCCTCAGAATGGTGGGGGGGATGCTGCAAGCCAGGCCATGGCCTCAGCACCTCTGGGGCTCGGCTGCCCTTCGCCATCTTGGATGCCAGCCCCGTCACCACCATGGGGCCACACTGTCTGGGCCCAGCTCTGTGGTTGCAGGCTGGGGGCTGCCAGGGCCTTTGGAGAGGCGTGCACAGCCCCAGAAGGAAAGCCCACCCTACACTGGGCAGTGGGAAGTGTTGTGGGTGCTGCCAGAATGGCTGGGGCCCTCTCCCACAAGGCGGGGTGTGGGCCAGTGGTCCTCAGTCAGGTGCTGTGGGTCCAGGCTTCAGAGGGAGAGATGAAGGACATCAGCAATCAGAGGGGTCTCAGGGGTCCCAGCAGGGAGCCTGATGGGCAGCTGGCCACCAGCCCCAGGCCAGGAGGGCGGGACATAGGTCCTGTCTCCATGGTCACATGGCTGGTCACAGACCTCAGGACGTCAGGTACCCTCTCTCCTGCCCAGACCCAGGACTCATGGGCCGGGCAGACCCGAAGCTCCACATCCACACTGAGCCCAAACACACAGTGTATTCCATGAGCCTCTGCACACTGCACCATGCATGGTCGGCCAGACAGGCCTGCTCCACCACAGCCCGGAGGCCGACATGCCTTCCCTCCCAGAACCAGCTCTCACCACCCATGCACCTTGTCCTCTGTGCTGTCTACCTTCTTCCTGGAGACCTGGCCCTGCCACCAGCTGGCAGGGGACCTTGCACAGCTTTCCTCGCTGCCATGCCTCAGCCCCCCCCCACCTGCACACTGGACTGATTGGCTACCCACGCCCCATGGACAAGTGGTGAGGGCAGAGGAGATGACCCACATCAGGGTGTGGTGTCCTGCCACATGGAGTGCCCAGTCTGAGCAAGCTGTTCTTGTTAAGTGATCGCCACCGCCTAACGGCCTTCACCTGCTGTACCTGAAGGACTGGCCCTGCCACGGCTCCAGAAGCTGTGCACCCCAGAAAGGTGCCGTGCCTTGTGGGGCCAAAGCCCAGCCAGGAATCCACACCAGCACACGGCCCATTGTCAGACTGGGGCAGCACATTCGGGCAAAGGCTCCACGCGGCCCGCTGCCCACCGCCCACATGCCCGTGGTGACCTGGCCTTCCGGCAGCAGCTCTTCGTCCCTGCCAACACTGAACCCTGGGGAGAGCTGAGCAGGTACCAGCTGCAGCTGTTAGCACAGAGGAGTGACTACATCGATGACAGCAGTGGGGGTTTCCCTTTTCTGGCAATAAAACTACCAAACCTGCCCAAGAAGTAGAAATTGTTGTGGGCATAATCATCTGTGTACGCAGAGGCCCCTATGGTGAGCTCTGACTTTCACAAAGCTGGTCATGGCCTCAGCAGCTGCTCCAGGGCTCAGAGGAATGTGGAAAAGCTCAATAAATGAGTGGTGCCCCAAAGCCCCCCAAAAGAGAAATGTGGCTAATGTACACATCAATCAATAGCCAGAAGTCGTAAATGCATCCCCAGGGAGTCGTTCTTCCAGCTCGTTGAACAAAGACTTAAACCAGGAATCGGGAACGATTCATCAGAGCACAGGTGAACCTGACTTCGCTGGAGGGGGATCTCCATCTGCAGAGCCCCAGCCAGACGGAGCCTCTGATCTGCCAGACGCCCTGGGTGTCACAGCCTCTTCTCTCCACACTTGAGTACCTGCAGTGCAGACAGCCTGTCTGAAGCCCCCGGTGCGAGGTGGAAAGGCTGGGACAGAGCTCCAGATGGGCCACCTGCTGTGGACACTGCCTGCTCCGCCAGAGCTCCGGACACCACCCTAGACGGAGACAGGCACAGCATGACCCCAGGGTCACAATATCACCTCCATGCCCCAGAAGAATGCTGACAAATTGAACCCAGAGGGAGGTCGCTTCAGAAGGACGAGCCTGCTGGCCAGACTACTGGTCAGTTCTCTGTCCCACAGCCCCCAAGATGCAGGAGATCTCACTCACCTTCCTGGCAGCCGACCCAGTAGCCACATGCATGCAGGTGGACAGAGAGGGGGCTGGCTTCCCAGCCTGGGGTGTGAGGACTCTGCTCCCAGGCCTTGTCCAGCACCTTGAACACACACATGGCTCCACACTCCGGCTTTAACACTGGTGAGGAGACCCGTAGCTCGTGGTCTGGAGGGCCACACAGGTGGGGTGCTGCAGGGGCGACCTCGAGAACAGCCCGGAGAAAGCCATGCAAACCAGACTCTGTAGAAGCCATGCAGACACCAGGCCCCTGCTCCCAGAAGCCAAACCCCCTCCCACACTGAGGCTGTGGCCCTGGCACAGCCCTCCCTGGTGAAGGCAGGAGGCACAGAGCAGAACCATATCTGGCCCAGGAGGTTTGGGTGAGGGTGCCCCCACCTCAGCCTGAGTCTCAGGGCCCAGACCCACCGGACACGCAGGGTCTCTGCCAAAGTGCCAGCCCTGGGCCAGCCAGGGTGGGCGGCACCCCTCCAGGGTTGGGAGGATTTTGTGGGGGGGGTGTCACCATGACATACTGCAGTGGTGGTTACTGTTACAGCACAGTGATACAGTCCCTGTCCAAAAGCCCACCTGACACAAGCTCATGGCACCCACGTGGAGCCGGTGTGGGGCCACAGCACCTGGGAAGTGGGTCCTGGTGACGTGTTGCGGCCGACTGCTGACCACGTGGTCAGAGGGCCATTCTTGGCCACAACAGGAAAGGGGACCTCCACTGACTCCATCACCCAGAGGGCAGGAGGGCGGGATTGGCCAAGCACCTGGCTGCCAATGCCAGCTCTCCCCAGAGGTTCTGAGGCAGGAGCGTGCCACTGAGCAGCTGCAGCATTTAGGCCTGAGGAATGATCAGCCTCCCACTATCACCACCGCATCCAGCCCAGAGGTCCCTGGGTCCTACAGGTCAGACACAGCCCCACTCGGACGCCTGGACTCCATTAGATAGGAAGCCAGCCCAAACCTCAGCCAGGCCTTTCTGAGAACCCACGTCTACGCAAGACCAGCACAGAGGCGGGGCCGGCCTGGTGAGCGAGCCCTGCCCCACCCTGCAGCCACAGGGCTAGCTGACTATGGCAGTATGTACCCACAGCAGCCCAGAGCCCACCCCACCCCACCCCAATCCCGTTCCCCACACGCAGCCCCACATGTGTACCAGGGGGTGGGTGCTCTCCCCTTCAGGGGCAGCTGACTGAATCTGCTTTTGAAAGACTTCTTCCCTGCAACGGTCTATCTGGACCACCCACCCCAGGGCCCCACAGTCCTCGCAGGCTGGTCTCCACATGGTGGGGGCCCGGCCTACGGCCGAGGCTGAGCCCCACTCTAGCTGGACAATGCCCTAAAGATGGCGCCTGCTTCCTGGACACCACCCTTCCTGGCCCTACAGCTCAGCGCATAAGGAAGTCTCCATGACTGGCTTGTCCCCATTTCCGTGCTCGTGCTCATAGCATGCTTTTCACATGCTTCCAATAAGACTGAACCTGGCGCGTGACCAGTCAGCTGATTGGCTGGGATATGCTATATAAGCTGCTGCCCTGGAGGAAGTGGTTGTTGCTGTTTTTTGCTTTTTCCTTTCGCTAGATGGATGCTCGGACGCCCATAATAAAGATTCCTAACGAACCAGGCCTTCGGTGATTGTTCTCCTGCCGTCGCCCTAGGTGGCAGGACGGGATACACATGACCTCATAGGAGGCCCACCCAAGACCCTCACTGCACATGGCAACACAGGGTTGCCTTCCAGAAGTGGACCCCCCAGTCCAGTCCTCCACAAACCTGGCATGTACCCCAAGTCTGTAAGACTACCCACAGGGACCAGGGTCGGTGCCTGGGCACCCCCACAGTCCAGCCCCATGCATACCCCTTAAAGGGCTCGGGTAGCCCCATGCTGGGTGCCCCATCACACAGTCCCTCCTTGGGAGACGGGTGGGGGAGCAGCCAAAATCCCACCTGCCCACCATGGCAGCTGTGCCCTGGACACCTGTGGACACCGGGGCTGGGGTCTCATGCAGGGAGGGACCTCCACCATACACAGGGGCTTTTTGCAAAGGAACCAGCCACCGTGTTAACAGCTACTACCACAGAGACAAGTGCAGCCCCAAAAACCCAGCCAGAACCCAAGGGCCTCCAGGCCAGGAGGGGCCGTTCCTGCAGGTGAAGCCTGGACCCCGGCCTCTGGGGCACTTTAGCCAGCTCAGCCCGTGGGCTGGTGCCCAAGGCCAGGTCATCCCAGAGCCAGGGCCTTCTGAGGGCTCTGAGGGCACCGCCCTGACCCCACAGTCACTTACCCAGAGCCTGGCCAGATGACAGACAGGACCCTGGCTCTCAGCACCACCCACCAGAGGAGTCAGAAAGGACCGAGCTGCACCAGGCAGACCCCAGGCCCTTAGGGGCGCTGACAGGAGCAGACACCGGGGCTGGGCCTGGCCCGGCTGCAGAGGAGCTCGCCGATGAGCCGGGCTCACGCGGTGGGAGCAGGTCTGCCTGCTGCCCCCCAGGGGCGTCCCTCCCGGAGCAGAGCGTGCAGGCTCCAGGCACCATGTGCCACTTAGGTCTCTGCCATGGGGCACATGCCTGCCCAGGGTGAGCGGCCTCCAGAAAGCCCCTGGGAGGGGGAGCCCACCAACTTCCTCACCCCAGTGGCCCGGGCATGTCCATACAGTCCAGGCCCTGTCAGCATGCCTGGAGCTGAGCCGACCTCCATACCTGCCAGGCTCCTGGAGGAGGACGCTGCCCAGGCTTCCACCCTGCTCTCAGCCACACAGCCTGGCTGCTCTGCTGCACAGCTGGGGTCCCCTGCCCACATCCAGGCTGCCATCCTCTGGGGCCGTGTTTCCAGCTTGGGGCTTTGGGTGGGTCCTGCTGGGCAGACCTTCCGGAGAAGCAGCTGCTGGACAGCAAGGACTTGGGCTGGGGGCGCGTCACCATATCCACCTCACGACTTACAGACATGGCGGCAAAACCCCAGCGCTGGCCATCCGGAAGGGCAGCCTGGGTCAGGCTACAGCACTGGCACTGGAAGGCCCAGCGGGCTGCCCTCAGGTGTTAGCTGCACAGGGCAATGTGCTGGGAACTGACCCTCCATCGCCCACAGCACAGCCCCAAGGCCTCCATTAGCCCAGGCTGGGTCACCTCCTGCCAGACCTCCTGCCCACCCCACTCCTCTGATCCGCTGCCCAGCATAGCATCATTCTCCAGGTATCCTGATCCCAGCAGGCATGTCCCACACAAGCAGCTGAGGGCAGCCCAGCCCCAGTGAAGCAGGCAGAGGGTCCTTCACAGGCGGCCCACCCCATGCACGCCCCTCAGACACGAGCCATGAGGCCCAGCCAGCCTGCCCCCTGGCTCTCATGGGCAGATGGTTCCCAGCAGCCAGCCAGGGTCCCCGACCACTGTCCCTGCTCTGGGGCAGGGGCCTGAGCTCTACGAGAGCAGCAGATGGCACACCTCTATGTCCACCTCCCCAGCCCCTCCCAGCATCCTCGGGAGAGGAGTGCACAGACTTGGTGCCCACCTTGCGCCCACACGCCCAGCCCACCCACCCACCTGAGCCACAGGGCAAGCATCGGAGTCCCAGGGCAGCTCCCAGCCTGTTCTGCGGCCCTGAGGGCTCAGGCCCTCCCTGCCCCCAGGAGGCCCCTCCCACTGGCCCCACCTCCTGGCGCCAGGCCTGGTTATTGTCACGGGGTGTCAGACGGTGTGTAGATGACTACAGTGACTATGACCACAGTGAGACCGCCCATAGCAGTAACAGGGCCAACTCCGCAGAGCTCTTGCACTACCTGCATGCCCGGGGCCCGCCTCTGAACCCAGGGTTGCACCCACCCCTGGAGTCTGTAGCCAGTGAAGCTGGACGCAGCCCCCCAAGCTGAAGGTCTCCTGGACGGGGACCCAGAGCTGACTCATTCCAAAGTACAAGGCTGACATCACAGGCTGCTGGGGACTGGCCATGTCCAGTGTGGCCAGGGAGGAATGTAGGAACGGGAGTGGTGCAGAGGGGCAGTGGTGGGGGGAGCGCAGGGGGGCAGTGGGAGGCAGTGGTGGGAGTCATTGCTGGAGTCAGTGCAGGGGTCAGTGTCGGGGAACAGTGCACCAAGGGAGTAGTGCTGGTGGGTTGGTGGAGGAACCACAGGCCCAAAGCCAGAGAGCCAGGATTCGGTGTCCAGGGACCACGCTCAGGGTGTGGCTCAGCCCCGACAGGCCATGGTGCTGCACCATGTCCCCAGAGACTGTGAGGACAGAAGACCTCGTCTGGGCTCCGCAGGCCTCAGGAAAGTGAAGCCCTCAGCCTTCTGTCAGTTCCCCACCCAGGGACTCTGTCAGCACCCCCTCCACTGAGAAGAAATGGATGCACGGAGCAGGCCCACCCAGCCAGGCAGAGAGGGGGCTGGGCACCCAGTTGGCAGCCCCGAGCCCTGCGTTTCCCAGGGAAGCATCTGTCTCAGCCTCTCCTTCCAAGGCCCCAACTGGGACAGGGTGCCAGCTGTGGGGCGTGTCCTCACTCTTGGGGACAGGCCATATTGTCCAGGCCTCTGTCACTGTGGGTACGGGTACAGCTGGACCACAGTGACACTGCTAATGCTCAAAACCAGCCGCCCACCAGGGCTGGGCCCGTCCCCACACACCACCCTCCCAGACATCCCGGGGACCTCAGGGTGTCTCTGCCCAGAGAGCCAGGCCGGGCCCCTGCAGGCTGAGAGCTCCCCCTACCAGGGCCCCCATGCTCTCCCGGGACCCTGAGACAAGCCAGAGCCCCTCGGGTGGGGAGGGCAGGAGGCTCCATCACAGGGAACCTGCTGCAGCGTTTCCGGTGGCGACCGCACAGGAGGCTGGCAGCTCCCCACAGATCAGGGCCTCGGCCGCCCGCCCGGCCCACCCTCCCCCGGGCCCCGAGGTGTGTCCCATCTCCCAGCTCCACAGGGTGTGTGTGTCCATGGGGTCCTAGGGTGTGCCCCATACCCACCCCTCCCCTCGGAGAGGACATTCTGCACAGGAGCCCCTCACAGCAGAACAACCCACACGGTGGCTCAGAAGGACCCCAAAGCCCCTCTGTGAACCCTCTTCCCCTGCCCTGGGGGATCCCCTCCTGCGGCCTCTGTAGCAGCCCCTGCAGACAGGAATGGACCCAACACATCACGGACACTGGCCAGGCTGGGCAGCAGGGAGCAGGCTGCATCTCAGATCCAGGACAGCCATGTTCTGCACCTGGGAGGAGGGACCCGCTCTGCCCACAGGGAGAGCTGGGGGCAGCTGGCCTCTGCCTCAGAGCGCACCCACCAGGGGGCCCATCCAGACACCAGTCCAGCTCCCAGCACCCTCAGAACCCACAGGCACTGGGTGCTCAGGAGAGGCGACCAGTACAGGGGACCCCCACCCTTCAATTGGACAGGGGTGCTGAGCCCTCAGCAGGCCAGGAGGTTTCTGGTCCTGCCTGAACCACGGTGGCATATGGTAGCTGGTCCCATGAAGACACTCTTCAGGCGAGAAAGACCCACCCCCAAGTGGGCCCCCTAGAGGGGACCCTAGACCTGAGTCACCACGCAACCTGCCCAACCAGCACACACCCCCATGCCCCCACCTGCATCCTCGGGGCGACAGTGATGCCTGACGAGGGGCTCTGAGCCAGGAGATGGCCTTCCGGAAACACAGCCAGGCAGGATGTAAAGCAGCCTCCCTGCCCGGGGACCTTGACGGAATTCGTATCAGCCTGAGGCACCGTGGGTATAACTACTGGGATCACAGTGACTCAGGCTCGGTGTAAAACCTGCCCAGGGCCATCCAGGCGCAGGCAGGCTGAGACACAGAAGCCCACAGCTTCTGGTCCAGCCCCACCCAGCAGGACCCTGGCCCGGAAGCCCACCCCCGGAGGCCTCCAGGTCACGGATGCAGCTGGTGGATGCTGAGCCGCCCTGCGTCACTGTGGGTGTGCTGGGAGCTACCACAGCAGGAAAGGTTGTGGCTAAAACCATCCCTGCGGGCTCTGGGGGCCCAGCCCCAGCCCGAGGTCAGAGAGGGGAGCCCAGCTCCCAGCCAGGCACTGTTCACTGACTCCCCGGGGACGCCAGCAGCCCAGCTGCTTCCCAGAGCCCATTCAGTGATGAGGACAGATGGCTGGGCTGTCAGTGGTCCAGGCCCTGACCTCGCCCTCCTGCTCAGCTCCAGGGTCCTTGGCTAGAGCTGACCTGGAGGCCAGGGCCCCTCAGGGAGACAGGAGCACCCCATGCCCGCCACTCCTGCACTGGGGCCAGGGCCGCAAGCATGACCTCCGTACCTGATCCAGAGCCAATGCCAGGGGCACAGACACCCGCCCCATGGCCCCGGGCCCAGAGGCTGGCACCCAAAGGCCCCCGAGCACTGCTGGCCCCGCACGTCCACCAGGACCACAGGCCCCCTGTCCTCTGCCCCTAGCCCAGGGCCAGCCGGGGTGCGAGCTCGCAGGGGGCAGGCTTGGAGAGCACCACATGGGCCAGAGCTCAGCCAGGCCTCAGGCCCCTTTCAGAAAGCCTGGGTGGGCAGCCAGCACACAAGGGGTCAGGCAGGGACGGGCCACCCGGGGCAGAGCCCTGGCTGTGAGCGAGTGGTGCCCCTGCCCTCACCTGCAGCTGCACCCACTGCCCGCCCCGTAGACATAGCCACCCAAGCAGCCTCCTCCCTGGAGCCCCCATCACACATCCCTTCCCAGGCCCCCAAGGCCCCCTGTCCCAGCACTGGGGGTTCGGCCACACCAGGCAGCCCAGCCCACCAGGGAGCTTTACACGATGAGCACCTGCCAACCGGCACCCACCCACCCATCAGCCCAGGCTTGTCTCCAGAGGGCCTGGTGCTCCACATGGAGGGAGGGCTCAAGGTGGCACTCATGGAGCTCCTCTCCTGGGCAGAGGTGTCGCCAGCCTGGGTCCCAGAGGGCCAGTGCTGGTAACAGGGGGAGCAGTGGGCCTGAAGGACAGCCGAAACCACCGTGCACCCTCCTCTCCCGTGGTGTGCTTGGCGCTGTGTGGAGACTCCCCCACACCACTGCCCACACGCAGGAAGCAGAGAAGCTCCGGGCCAGTTCAGGGTCTCTGAGCCCCTCCTGCCTCCCCTCCTGCACGGCCCCACCCCTCTGGTCCAGCACCAGGCTTAACACACGTGACTCAGAACAACACTGCAGACATTTCCCAACGTTCCGAGGCAGTAGAACGCCCAGGAGCAGTCAGGCCCTTATGGTCGAGTTACTGGACCGCAGAACACTGGGTGACTGAGGAGAGCAGGTCATTTACAAGAGGGGGACCATCTGCCCAGACTTCTCAAAAAAAACTTATCAATGCCAATAAAACACACTGGAGAGAAAATACGATCCAAAAATTTTATGCTCACTAAATATATCTTCCACATGCGTGACCTTGGGGGACGGCCCCTTGAGTCCATCCTCATTGAGGAAACGTATACAGAGAGGAAACATACCAGTGTTTAGCTGTCGGAAAATATACTTTCATTTTCAATATTCTATATTACACACATTAAATGTATGTAGATATGAATGTGTACATATATACACACATTTGTCCAATACATATAATACAGACTATTGACGATACAACTATTTGTCTGAATGAGGATGAACTTTATACAACCAACGTAAAATTGGAAAAATGCATAACCATTTAAAGTAAGCCTCAGAGCCTGCACCGTGGGGCGCATGTGGCGTGTGGACCAGCACGGGTTCCCTGGTGCGCACGAGGCGCATGCCCTCACCCGTGTGGGCTGCCCTGGGGTGAGGAGGCATCTCGTAGTGTCCAGAGCAAACATGGGCAGCAGTGTGAGCGCAGCAGAGCTGCAATGCCAAAGAGGAGCAAGGGCGACACACCAGAAAAGTGTTCATTAACCCCAAAGCTGCAGGAAAAGATGTGCATGTGAATGAATGTTGGGCAGGAATATGGACAGTGGAACACACAGAGAGCTCTGGGGACCCGCAAAGGCTGCTGCTGTCCCCAGGGCCATTCCATCTGAGCCCATCTGGGCTGCGTTCCTTGGAAACCAAGAGGAAGACTTGTGGCGGAGGTTCAGGGCCCCGGACTCTCAGCAGTAGCAGCTGCCAGGGCGTGGGGGCTGGCCACACCGGGGTGCTCACCCTTGCAGACCCTGGATGCAAAGCACCCCAGTGATGAGCAGCTGCACAGGCCACCCCAGGGTGCAGAGCAGGGCCCAGGAAGGAGAGAGCACCGGCGGGGTCCCGGGGACAGTGGGTTGCAGTGCACACGTCCAGCTCCTGCCCGCATCTCAGGCTCTGCCTTCCAGACACACCTCCACACAGCACTGCCCTTACCTTCCAGGATCTGTGCAAAATCAAAACAGAATTTTTTTGTGACTTGGGTCTTCCTCTTTCAGCAAGCCCAGGGAAACTGGTATCACCCACAGAATCCAGTATATACATAAAGGACGACCTGACATCTGGCAGACACCACCCGGGAGGAAGTACAGCCACAGTGACAGAAGGACTTTTTATTAAAACCTTCACAAAGACAAATTGAAAGACCCCACAGACAACAGATGGGGACATGGGGACAGAGTCAGATGAATGTGGAGCAGAGTAAAACTGTACGGAGTTAAGGAGCAGAGATAGACAAAGGAGACAGGCAAAGGAGAGGGAACACACAGCCGTGGCATCCGTGGAAGAGGGGGGAGTCCGGCCCGCTTACGGCACGTGTCCAGGAGTCCCCACAGCAGGTGGACTTTCTCAGGCTCGCAGTGTCCCTATCACGGTGTGTCTAGCATATCTTATTTCAGGATGCAGTGTTTTGATTCCACTTCAAAATATTTTTGCTATGCTCTTACTTCTGGTAGACCCTTCTGGAAAGAATTGATTTGAGCAGCATTCAAAATGCCAAGTCATGGATAAGGGGGACAACAGGTGGTCTTAGATCTCTAACCGGCCACATTCAGCACCAGTGGATAAGGGACAGCACCTCGACTCAGGCTGGGAGCAGATGGGGGCACCTGGCAGTCTTT